CAAAAAAGTACTCCAGAGTGTTGTTCAGCATGGGGGTGAGTAGAAAATGAAGGCTAATCATGTTTTGGGTGTACTATTCCTTTAAGCTTAAATCAGTATTAATCAAAATCACAAATTGAAAGAAATATGTCAAAAGCAACAGCACAGAAAGGGTTAAAGCTGTCCGTAATATTTCTGTCCATCTCACTGTGTGGTAAAATAAAGAAATATGAGATCAAATCTAAGAACTGCTGTTTTTCATGATGTCACCATATTGACTCAATCTGAAAGCAGATAATGTTTGCTGAAGAGGCTCTACATTACACGGTCTTATGGTGCATTCTGACTGTGCTATTTTACTCTGCCGTTAATCTGATGAATGGTAGCAAACTCCTCAACACTGCGCAATGAAACTTTCTATTAGCTGTCCAAAAAGTAAGCTCAAACCATAAAGAACCTAATAAAAGCAGAAGTAGATAAAAAGGCAATCATTCTAACAGTAAATTACCCAATAAATTTCCAAACCTTCCCCCTTTAACTGTAATGTTTTTGTCAAATGGAATGATTCTCTTGGTTCTTTCTCCTTTTCTTTATACCTTCGTATAGTTTTTCATTAAAAATCCAGTTGACTTGTGTAAAAAAAAAAAAAAATAAAAAAAAAATCATAAAATGGTGCCTCTTCTTTTGTTTGCTTTACCTCTGTCCATTACTATAAAAAAACTTTTTTTTATCTGCATACCTTCTCAAATTTTATTTCTTTTCATACATTTGCCTCTATCACAATTCATCCTTCTCCATTTACATTAATACACCTAACTGTGCCTTCTTAATTTATCAACAGGTTTCGTTTTTTTCCACTCTTTCAAATAACATTTTAATATTATTGGACTTTTGAGCAAGTCATGGATTTCTTATAATGTTTATCAGTCCACTTGGCACCAAGACACCCTTGATATTAGGTCTATGATTTATTTTGTAGTAGCTTCTTCTGACTTTAATTTGCATGTCTTGGACACTCAGGTGAAGAGAGGGATGGAATGATTCATGGATAAAATGGTGCACAGAGTCACTTTGGATACACTGGAATAGATTGGAAGTAAAGGAAGCTGGACTTTTTCTGCAAGCTCAAGGAAGTAGGCTCAACTCAGAGATAGTTTTGTTTTCAATTCTGGGGGGAGATGTCTGTGGACAATGTTCTCTGCCTCAACCTCTATTGTCAATGTGGTAAACCGTTTTTGGTCTCTTTCAAGGTGGTTATTCCCAAACCAGACGGTGGACACTGGCAGTAAGCGATGCTGCTTAGCTGAAGAAGCTACTTTTGCAAGCCTTGCTTATAAGGCTCCGGAGGTAGCAAACAGCTACTATGAGGCCAAGTGTGCTGCTATGGTAATAATCTATCAACAGCAATTCCCTAAATAAAACAACAAATATTTTATATTTGCAAAAGCTTGAGTTTAACAAATGCATAACATCACAGGGTGTACGTTGATAGGTATTAGTAGATCTTATTATCTGTTCAGGGAGTGGCAGCCTAGTGGTCAGGGCATAGAGCTTGGAATCCTGAGGTTTTGAGTTTGTAACCCACTCCAACAGACTGCCACTCTGGGTCCCTGAGCAAGACCCTTAACCCCTGATTCCTCCCCGGGTGCTGCACAGTGGCAGCCCACTGCTACTCAAAGGGGATGGGTTAAATGCAGAGAGTTCATTTCTCCACTGTGAGATCTATAAAGTTCAATTTATTTATTTATTTATTTATTTAACAAAAATTAACAAAGATAAACTAGTTTGACTCTTGTAATTAACTTATTTCTATACTATGAGAGAGCAAAAAGAAAGTTTCATTTTAAACCCTTAACCATGATAAAGTATACATTCGACCCAAGGAGTTCGGTCAAACTTAACATTTTCCACAGCACTCCACCTATATATTAAAGCCTTTTATGGCTCTAACCTTTTATCTTCTCTTTTAGAAAGACTGGAACTTATTTTATAAAATGGCCTTATTTAACTTCTTCAAACTTTTCTTGGAGAAAACAGTTTTCCTTGGAAAAAAAAAGAAAAGAAAACCCGTGAGGTATTGCCTAATGGGGCTCATCTCTTTGACTCCTGATGTAAATTATAACTGAAGATCTTTATGATTCCGGCTGATGCTAATTAGAGGCCGACTCCCCTGCCAGTCTGTCTAGAAGCTAAGGATACCAAAGAATCTAAAGAGCTGGAGGTTGGTGATGCTGTATTGTCCTGTAAGGAAACTGGATGCACAGAAGAGGGAGGGATAACATGTTGGAATGACTGCAAAGTAAGCCTATTATCATGTCTGATCAATAGTCTGAGACAAACACAGCACACAAATATGCAGAAAATGTGTACAAATGCAATTACAAACTAGAGAAGCCTGGAGCATGAATGTAGTTGTTCCCTCCTGTTACTAATTATCCAGCTCCCTCAACTAATATGTCACATTTGAGGACAGCATTAAAGTGTGAAGATTATAAAATAAATGAGGGTTGTTCTAAGCCAGGAACTGTAGATGTGTGAAAGCTCATTATCTGACAGAGGCAGATGTGCTTTTAAAACGCTTGTCACATAAAACAGAAGATGAATGATCCGTGTTCTGACAAACCCAGGAGGGGTGCCTTGAGTTGGAAACAATGTGGAAAGGAAGAGGCCTGAATCCAATTGAATTATTTAAAGTGTTAACGCTGCAGAGCTTTATCTCAACAGAGAGAACATCAGAAAGTAACAGCTTCTGCCCATGTTTCAATAAGTAAAGCAGTTAGATATGCGGCAGTAAACATAAAAACAAACATCTGACATTTATAACCCATGTAGAAATGTAAGGGCTTTGGGCTAATACTCACCTGTGCAAACGTCCAGGTGAGCTTCAAGTGTTTTGTGGCTGCGTAGCTGCACTCCAGCAGCCTAGGCCGGCTGTTAACGTCCACCAGACACTTGTTATCATCGTCATCTATGGTGGGACTGAGAACGCCAAGGTGGATCTGCTGGGAGCTGGTGAAGTACACATTCTGCTGGGAGACAAAGATAACTGAGTAAAGAGGAGGAATTTCTGCACACGGTTTCTACTAATTACCGTACAGACCCGCATATAGGACGGCCCTGATTATAAGACCAGCCCCTCTTTCCAGGGCCAGTTTTTAGGAGAAAAAAAAAGACCTAAAAGAAAAAAAAAAAGACTGATAAACCAAATATATTTTGCGCTAAGATTTCATTTGCATTTATAGGCTTGTGCAATTAAAAAGGTAAACAAAAACAACAACAAAAAAACAACAGTGATGTCAACAGTCAAACAAATCAAGTGGCTGTAACTTATTGTTTTGAAACCCGCCTCTGGCAATGGATAAAAGCTTTCCATAGGATTGTTATAAATGAAGCTTGAGTTTTTTTTTTTTTTTTTTTTTTCCAATTTTTTTTTTTTGAAAAAAATTAAAAGAAAATTAAAAAAAGGAATACATTTCCTTTTTTTTTTTTTCTAAGTTATTTTTATTGAAACAAATTATAAGATAATATCAATAAGGAATACAGTTCACTTTTTTTTTTTTTCTTTTAAGATAAACATATA